TAAATTTTTGTGATGTAATTACCAAAAGTGATGTCGTGGGTTTGAGAGGAATGGACTGCTGACTGGTGTCCTTATTGTATCCTTGTAACTATTCTTGCTGCTTTGCGAAGTGCCGATCTTCTTACTAGGTACCATGGGTTTCCAAACAGCGCCGAACGACATCCCACTTCAACGATGTCCAGATATTGTCCTGAAGGTTGATACGCCAAAAGGTACGTTTCTCGAGATGATGGCAGATCAGTTGTAGTGGATGACTAACAAAGCATGTAGGGCGTGGTGTTTTTGCTACCAAAGACATACCATCAGGGACCACGATAGACATATGTCCTGTATTGATCCTAGGAATAGAAGAAAACAAGAAGCACATAGAGCAGACCTCGCTTTATCATTACACTTAGTACGTAGTTCCTTGTTTTGAGCTGCTGTATTATCGCGCTACCACCTCCTCTGGACATGTAGCATGCGTACGCATGTGCGGGCATCGGCAGTTGTAGCAGGTCTATGGCCTTACATTTGATCAAAGTATCTATTAGAGGTGGTTGGAAGTACCCAAAATCTGACTCATGCTAGCAATTGGCCAATCGTAGACACGGACGGTAACAGCAAGGTCACACAAGCCATCATATTCGGATTGGGAAGCATGTTCAATCACTCGACCCAGGAACAAAACGTAGGATGGATGCGGGATACTCGACGTCAAATCATCACGTATCGAGCTTTGAGAGACATTGCTACAGGCGAAGAGCTTTGTAAGAGGAAGAGCCGAAGCTGATAGCCAAAGACGCTGATAATTGCAGGCATATCGTACGGAAGCCACCTAACCTTCAAGGATGCAGATGTTCCACCACCAACGCCACCAGAAGACGAAATTGAACAGCTTCGAATGATTGACCCATATTAAGTAATAGTTAGAAGTACAGAAAGTACAAGGGTTCAACGCGTGTTTGCCACAAGAGAGAGAATCGCCGAAATAAGACAGGTCAGAAGAGATGTGGGTAGCCAGTTTGGGAGCGATCGTCTTACGCCGAGATGTACAGCGCCAATATGAGAGAGAGAGGATACATCAGGTGCTAAGGGGCTCGGGCTTTTCGGTCGATGGCGTGACATCAGCGGAGCTGTTGTTGTCTTCGGCATCGTTTCTCAGGTCGTAGGCGAGCTCGAAGCATTCCTCCAGAAGTTGTGTTACGCGTCCTTGACCATCGGGTATCTCTTCGCCAACCATGAACTTGCCGTCTACCCGCATGTTGTCAATTGAGTTCAGCTATATATGAGTCAGTAGACGTATCGATATATTCATGGGGTGGTGCACCAACCTTCATACTGTATGGGTACAGCTCTCTTGGTGAGGATACACCTCCCAGCTTCTTGACTTCGAGTAAGCATTTCCGAAGTGTGGTCAGCTGGTTGTATATTGGCAGTAATGCCTCTGACACAGGCTCTGAAGTTAAAAGCAGCTGGTAGATGAGAGCGTAGCTCTTCCTGAGAAGATAGAGTAGTGTCTACATCACGTTAGTCCGTGGGCGTATAGACAATCACGTCTGTGAGAACATACCCTTTGCTCGTAGATCTCAGATGGACGTCCAAGTGCATCAACGAAATTACCGTCAACGCGTGCCTCGTCTATGCGGTCAAGCTGGCGCTGGAAATCCCATAGATCAGTCTCACGAAGGGACCATGCCTGTGTCAGAGTGAGCTTCTCGAGTTTGTTCCGGATAGCAAGAAGTTTGTCGTAGGTGTCTTTGAAAGCGGGCGATATGCGTCCTTGCCTGCTCAGGTGTTAGTCCGGATCGTAAGATTAGCGGGATGCACCAACTTTTGCTTGATCAACGTGACCCAGAGCAAATTACGGCGTAGCAGCGTGCCGATGAGAGTCTTGGCGTCTGGTGCGGCCTCGGGGTGTTCGGTGGCTAGTTGCATCTTGTCGACCATCTCGGCCAGCTTCTCTTCAGTGGTTCCCTCCGTCTCATACGCGCGAATTCCGTGTTCTTTCAGCTCTTCGTCGAGTTTGTTGAGCTCCTCTGAGTACTCCTCAACCTCTTCAAGTGGGAACTACAGTTCCGGTCAGTACACGGTAACGGCCTATTCGGAGTTTGCTAACCTTCGATCTTGCATTGCAACCGCAAAGGGATCGTAGTATCGAGACAAGCTTCTCCCACTTCGGTGTCAGGTCGGGTGTTAGTCCGGATAGGTTCAGCTTCAGTTCTGCTAGTGTCTCTTCGCAAACTTTGATACGAGCATCGAGGAGAGTCAGCAGATGAGGGCTGTGACCTTCCTGCCCCCTTTCAACATAACGCCGGCAGTCTTGGAGGTTCTTGTCCAGGGCTTCCAGATCCTTTTGCGAGTAGAAGGTGGCTTCTTTGAGATGGTCCAAGAGGCGCTGTGAGTTGTTAGACATTGACGTGCACATGACCTCCCACATGTATAAGTACCTTGATTGTGGATATGTATGAGTAGCTGGAACACTGTCAGTAACTTCGTATACAGCACATGACACCGCCAAATACTAACACTGCTGGTGGTTCGTGGTTCTTTCCGACGGTCAGATACGCAAGTGATATGAGCTGAAAGCAATCATCGAGCATGTAATCGACTATGCGACCAAGTCAGCATCAACAAGCCACATTGGGCAGGTGGCAACGTGACATACCTTTGTTCTGCTCCAGGCGCTTAGTTTCCCGTATCTCGTTGAGAATTATGACCTGCTCGATGACTTGGTCGTACAGCTTCAAGACATCTTGGCTCTTGACATAGGTGGACCGATCACGCTTCAGTAGTTCCAGCTCCGTCCGTATGGACTGCAGCTTGTCGAGGATGGGCTGCTCCTTCGGATCCAGCGGAATCCGTGGGAGTGGGGAGTCGGTCATTGTGTGCTGCAGACGCTGATCGGCGCTGGTTGGGGAATCTTTCGGTGGGGTTGAGGCTAATCCGAACGGTGGTGAAAGCTGGAACTCTGCAATATGCGAACTTGGAAGTAGCCGGTCGGGAAGCCAAGATGCAGCTTGATAGCGGGGAAAGTGCCCGGACGTCACCGAGGGGCAAGCTGCCCTCGGCCAACGCGCTAACGCCTGATGCAGCTAGACGCTGCTAAGCGAAAGCCACGATTAGCGCCGTCCACACCATCAATTCAATTCACCAGCGCCGACACTCTCAACATCTCGACTCACGACAATATCACGATCACATCCGTCGCAATGTCTACCTCCGAGCTCGCCACCTCTTACGCCGCTCTCATCCTCGCTGATGACGGTGTCGACATCACTGTACGACTCCCGAGGTGCAATTCGCAATCGCGGACACAATGGCTAATTTGAACAGGCCGACAAGCTCCAATCTATCATCAAGGCCGCAAAGATCGAGGAGGTCGAGCCCATCTGGACAACTCTGTTCGCCAAGGTGCGCATACACGGACACGCTGGAGCAGAACACGGAATTGATATGTGAATAGGCTCTTGAGGGCAAGGATGTCAAGGACCTGCTCCTGAACGTCGGTTCAGGCGGCGGTGCTGCCCCCGCTGCTGGAGGCGCTGCCCCTGCCGCTGGCGACGCTGCCGGTGCCGAGCCAGCTGCCGAGGAGAAGAAGGAGGAGGGTACGTCTACCAAATATCCCTCGCTGAGCACAGAACGGAGACTAACACACAACAGAGAAGGAGGAGTCAGACGACGACATGGGCTTCGGTCTCTTCGACTAAGCGTCTCGTTTCCCTTCCTTTCTTCGACATTTGCCTTTATCGGGGTTGCAAAACGGATTCATCAGCGGGCATATTCCCATTGCTGGGGTGGGACAGTCACGACTATTCGGTGACACGACTTGCATACGGGCCCTCCCGGAAGAACAACGACGGCGTCATGAGATATGTTAGGTCGGCAGGTCAATGAATACTTCGAAAAGTGCAACAAACGGGTACACGTCGTGATGTTTTGGAGCGGTAGTTCGGTCGCCATACCAGCCATTGTGATGTTAGGTTTGTGGATATGAAAGGAACTTGATTTAAGTGATACATCAACATGATTACGATCTCTAATCATGCGCTAGTGTTCCTTGGTCGGATAACCTGACTCCAGAGTCATCACCCTTTCCTATGACCGCTTACGTCTCTCAACACACCATGACCTAAAGTCAGTGTCTTCGCCCAACTTCAACTTGAGGGAAAGATGTCAACTAAGTGCCGAAGTCATGTCTGGGATGATGTGCATAGCTCGACTCAATAGCGCTATTTGAGCAATCAACAGTATAGGAACCACTCTCAAGTTTTCTAACTCCACCTTAGTCATCTACATAGCATTACCTGTGCTAGTACTTGTAGAGTCTTCCGCAAGTATACCGCACATCTTGCATCTGCATACCTGTCCCTTTGGTTCTCTAAGTTATACTTTCCATAGCCAAGTGGATCTTCATCAGACTTTCACATAAGCGTAAAGGTTGTCGCTATCTTCGTCATCTTACACTAAAGCGCCATCTTACTCTTGCGATCAACTGACTTGGAGTCAGTCTGCCAACCTCTCTGTATTTCCAGAGCATCCATCTTGCGCTTTCTATGACTATCTATCAAAATGCTCTTTGATAACTCGGTATAGTTGGCGCAGAGGCCGGTCACGCGCGCTAGTCTGATTGCGCAGAACATACCCACCAAGATCTGTCGCATGCCTTTGTCGTCATGAGAACAGCAACTACAATGCTTCATGAAAGGAGAAAAATCGCTATCTGAACAATGAAAGTAAATTGACGACTTCTTTCAGATCCGCCAGGTTACAAGGCTGTAGATTACTGTCTTTGAATGGTATCGCATAGAAACAACGTGCCAACAAATCAGGCAATTCACGGTGAGGCTGAATCTCAAAGTGGAAGTAGGCAAGCTCGAAAGCCTGGACCAAGACCAGTCTACCACCACGTGCAGTACGCCAGCTTCTCCGTCTGCTTCTTGCATTACAACTACGACCCCGAACTCATCTAGAACTACGCGAAAGTAGGCCTAGAGATCAAACAGAGCTCCAGGCCTACGATGTCGACGGAAAAGATCGCAAGAATGAAGCGCCCCAGGTATGTTGGGGAGTGGCCTCGGGAGTGTCAAAAGTCTACGGGCTAATTATTTCCTAGTGAGGCTGCCCAAGATCCCATCTTCGCCATTGTCGAAGTAGGCGACACCAAGACCAAATACCACATCCATCGCTCGCTACTCATCGAACACTCCGATTACTTCAAGAAGGCGTTGAATGGTCCTTGGAAAGAGGCACAGGAAGGTGTCGTTAAATTGGAAGACGTTGAGTGCAGCACGTGTGAGTAAAGAGCATTCAGAAGTATGTATTACTCAGCTGACAATGCGATAGTCAGCGTCTTTATCGACTGGGTGTATACACAGAGGCTTCCAAAGAAGAACGCAGCATGGTGCGATAAGAACGAAGCAATAGAGACAGGCAAGGCACAACTTGCACAAGTCAAAGCACTCGTTTTCGGTGATCGCATTCTCTCCCCGATGTTCTACAAAGCGGTTCGCGATAGCTTGATCGAACACATTATCTCGAATGGTGCTTTCTACCGAGCTGTGATTCATGGGTTTGCTCATCTTGCTAAGGATCACGCAATTCTTGATCTGTTCGTGGAGGTGCAATGCCGGAGGTTTCATGATTCATACGACACGGTTGAAAACGGCGAACTCGAGCTTCAAGCCAGTCTGCCACCCGATTTCCTCATGCGCATGGTCGTTCGTTACAGTAAAATCGCTGAGCCAGTGTTACCGGAGGGCGAAGTTGAGCCATGCGACTATCACGGTCATGCGGATGAAAACGAGAAGAAGCAGTGCCAGGCGGAGGTGGATAAGGATTGAACAACATCTTTGAGAACTTCACAGGGGGGGTTGACAATATCTTCGAAGCCAGGCGCACAATATGTATGTCATGTTCAGGACTATGCTCGTAGTGGCATACCCAGATTCAGGATAATCTACATGTCCACTTGCATACAAGCAAAATATGCACCTACTCCATGCACCTATGCAGATACAAGTGAAACTTGAAACATGGAAATGTCGAATTAACTATAGGTCGTTGGCACGAAGCAGCTCCTCGTCGTAAGACATGCCGTTGATGCGCTTCTTGGTGAATTCGAATGCAGTAAAGAAAATAGCGTTGACTATGCAGGAACGAGACATGGAGACACCGAGGCCTTGAATGGGTCAGTAGAAGTCTTGCGACTTTGGGAAGGTATGCTCACCTCGATACATCCGGCGACTAAAGAAATGTATCTTAGGGCGCGTGGCCTTGTCTTTGCCTCCAACGAGGCAATTTCGCTGGTAGATACTCTTTGCCGTGTCGATCGGGAAAATCTGCAATACCTATTAGTACATGATTCAAGACCCCATAGGAAGCGAAAGCTTACGCAGGCCCAGCTAACCAGTCCACACAGTCCACCAGCCACGACTACAGCCAGTGGATGTGTAGGTGAAGTACCTCGCGCATTGGCTAGAACCTGTTTCACACTCTCATATGTCACAAAGTAAATGCCGGTGCCGATAGAATCTCTTACTGTCTCCTGTTAGCGCTTGCATGTCTTTGCAGCGATCTGCGGCTCGCTCACGTAGATGCAAATGGAAGCCAGAATACAGTCCTGTCCAACCCCGATGTTTGACCAGATTTTGTGCCGTCTTCCAGGTTCCCAAGTTCTGGTAGCTCTTGCGGACCGCTTCGTTCTTGCCGCCGCCATCGTTGCGCTCGGCCATCAATACGGAAATTTGGGCGCTCAATTTCGTCAATTCGAAGGGGCCTGACTGAATTAGCTAGCGAAGCATAAACGGCAGTAGGTCTGTCGTACATGCGATTACCGTGATAGCGGCACCCGCATTGACACCTGCCAGCCCGAAGCATGCAATTGTCGAAAACGTAGGCCACGCATCTCGGGTATTTGCGATAACAAGCGGGGAGCTTCCGGTAGTCTGGTAAATCCAATTGTCGAGCGCGTACTTGGATCGTTGGTATATGGAGAATGACACGGTGCGGACGAGGGTTATGCTTGCGAGAGGAGACCAGACACCTATGACGCGTACATTAGCGGGTGCTGGCTGTGCAGCTGTGAGCGGTGAGGCATACCACGGTAAAAGCCATGGAAGCCTTCAGTCTTGTAGGTATGGCGAACGCAGTCGGCGAAGGAGTTGAACTTGTAGCTATGCCGTGTTAGCCGTGTCTTGCGTGATGCTGGGGGGCTGGCGTACGCTTGCAGGCGGGTCTTGACCGAGTCGAGAGGATACTAGAAGCTATCAGCACTGGCGAAATCGACGACGCCGTGTCTGATAGGGATGCACATACAGCCGCAAACGTAGAGAGCAGACTGCTGGAGCTTGCAGCGACCTCGGTGCGGTACTTCTTGGTCCATCGCTTGGCCTGCTCACTGCGCAGGACGGCTCTTGAAACCTCGGTCAGATCTCTGGGTCTATTTGGAATGTCCTGTTGTACATTTGGCCTCCCCTCGTCCTGCTTAGGCATACTGGCTATCGCTAGCTGTGGAAGACGGTGCAGTCTTCCTACGGCAATCGCGATCGGGCCAGCAGCCGGGCAAGCTCCATGAAGACCGCGGCGTCGTCAAGCTGGATGGAGGGAACGTGGGTGCGCGATTGGTGTCGAGTGCGGAGGTTTGTGGTGGAGAGGAAGGTCGGGCGACAATGGCTGATGTTGGCGAGAGTGTATAGATGCGGAGCGCGGTCATGGAATGGTGGGGTTAACCTCACGCTTTGTGCAGCTCGCATCCCCGAAACAGTCTAACGGCCACGGAAGGATGAAGCCATTGGCCGCAGGCGAACGATCGACGCAACGACCTGCACATGTACCTATCTATAATATCCCTCATCCAGCGCCCGGCAATCGATCCCCAACTTGACACCAACACATGACTTTGCTGTTGAATCGCGCCTGCCATCACTCAACCAAATCTCGTGGCATGGCACGCGTTTGAAAGCTACCACAGCTGAATGCGGGGTTCGCTCCAGGGCTCACATGTGAAGCTTAACGCATCCATGTCCATAGCTCTGGCAAATCACAGTTTATCATTACGGCAGCTAGCGTTTTCGAGCGCATGTGTTTCGCTGTGAATATATATACCATGTCATGTTGTGCTACTTCGGTGCGTTCAACTGCTGTTCCTAGGTAGTTAAGCTTTCGCTGCCCGTGATCAAACAGACTGCATAGAGGTGAATCTGCTCCGGGTGCGTGTGACAAGACACTGCCGGCCGCGGACCGTGTTTATAGATCGACTTAAGTTCTGCTGTACCCAAGCTTACCTCTCTGCTGGTGTTGGACAATGCTGAACAAACCGGTGAACGTCTTAGCCGCTAAACGTGCTCGCGTGCAGCTTCATTAGCAGCATGGTGCAATTCTGACCTCTTCACAGCAACGAACCTGATGATAATGATTCTTCGTTTAACGATCCTTGAGGTTCGTAGACACATAGATTGATGTGTTAATGTGTCTTTCTATAGTTTTTGTTCTTGGTCATAAAATCAAGGCCTACTGAACGACCCTCGTGCGTTGCTACCATCAGGGCTTTGCCTGCTCCTTAGGAATCAGTCCTTCTTTCCCATGATCTTCCTCAGTTCAGCGTCGTTCTCGGACCTCTCTACTGGCGCTTTCTGGTTCTCCTCGACCTTCTGCTGTTTCTTCTTACGAATGTCTCCTATAAGAGCTTCGCTGAATGTCCCTCTGTCATCGTCCAGCCTGTCCATCTGACCATGCCGCCTCATGCTCTCCTTGTGCCAACTGATTTGCCCGCCGTCTGCCTCGCGATGTTTCTTCGCGTTGAGCTTCGCCGCGCGTATCGACGTCCGGGCATATACGAAGAGGAGGCCAGCCATGGTAAGGGCAGCTAAGGGTGCCATGACGGTCTGGGACGTGTTAGCCGATGTGAGAATTACAAATCTGGAAAGAAGCCCCTTACACGGCCATTGATGATGCCTCCGCCTCGTGAAAGACGCGCTCGCGCATTGGCCGACGTGGGCTTGGAGGTTTCGCTCATGCCATCGGCCGCCTTCGGCATGGAAAGTCTACCACCCATGACGAGGGTAGTTGAGTTAGGTAGAAGTGTGTGTGAAGGCTTTCAGCTAAGAGTGCGACACTCGGCAATGTCGCAAGGTCCGTGGTGGGGATGGTCTGATCTCTTTGGGTGACTGTGGATGCTTCAGGAGTCAGGATTCAGGATCCGAGAAAGTTTGAAACACTCTCATAGGCTGGCATGGTTTCCTGCCAACATCTGTCGAGCTTCAGTTGACTTGACCGGCCTGAAGTTGCGTGGAGTCGTGTGTCGCAGGTGGGCTGGCCTGGAAGCGATGATCGAAGTAGCTATTGGAAGCGGTCTAGCGCATGCACCTCCGGGATGTCCGCACGCGTAAGGCCGAGATCGCGTCACCGCCGGCTGCTCCCATAATCGCAAAATCTTAAATCGCAGCATTACCAAGCGACACACATCGGTCGCTGAGATAGCATTGCGTGATAGTTGCAGGCATTGTCTTGTTCGTCCCCGGTCTGGAACTTCTAGCCTGCACAGAAAGCAGCCATACCGCATACCGCATACCGCACCTGCGTGGTTGGATTACTTAAGTCGTCCAATCCAGCCTCTGAATGCAGTAGTAGCTTTGGAATCTAATTATTCTGACGTACTCCATAAGTATCCGCCGTCGGCCGCGCTGCATCCTAATGCAAAGAATAGCTACCTTTAGACTGCGAGCTCTCTCGACGAGTCTCCGTACCATTACCCCTCCATCTACAGGACAAACTTCTCTCCTCCGATCGCACTTCCGCCCTTCACAAACCGCAGTGGCATCCGCACGCTTATCAAACCTCTCGTCTCACTTCTCCACCTCAAGCATCGCCATGTCGTCGCAACCCAAGGAGTGTGATTACCTAGTAATCGGAATTGGCAGCGGGGGTATTGCCTCTGGACGACGAGCCGCCAAACACGGCGCAAAAGTCATCGCGATCGAATCTTCACGATACGGAGGTACCTGCGTAAACGTCGGTTGTGTGCCGAAGAAGGTTACTTGGAACGCAGCAGCGATTGCCGAGACCTTCAAGGATGCGCCCGCATACGGTTTCAAGGTTGGCGGGGTACCAGAGTTCGACTGGCCATACTTCAAGAAGAAGCGAGACGACTACGTCAAGCGACTGAACGGCATCTACGAGAACAACCTGAACAAGGACGAGATTGAGCACTTCAGAGGGCGCGCGAAGTTTGTGGCCAAGGACGAAGTCGAGGTTGCGCTTCACGATGGAGGCTCCCAGCGCATCAAGGCGAAGCATATCCTCATCGCGACCGGTGGACGACCGAAGCTACCCGATATTCCTGGCAAGGAACTTTGCATTAGCAGCGACGGCTTCTTCGATCTCGAGAAGCAGCCCAAGAGCATTGCAACGAGTGGCGCTGGATACATCGGTGTCGAGATGACTGGCATGCTTCACGCACTCGGCTCGAAAACACACTTCTTCATCCGCGGCGACAAGCTCCTCCGAACCTTCGACCCCATGATCCAAGATACCGTAACTCAAGAGTACGAGCGTCAGGGCATCAACCTCTACAAGGGTACACAAATTACAAAGGTTGAGGATATTGGCAACGGCATGAAGCGCGTCACCTACCAGAACAACGAGACAAAGAATGAGTCAACCGTTGAGGTCGAAGAAGTTCTCTTCGCAACTGGACGTGACCCCGAAATTGAAGATCTCAAGATCAAGGACTTCGGCATCAAGCTCAACGACAAGAACCACATCGTGACCGACGAGTACCAAAACACCTCTATCCCCAACATCTACGCCATCGGTGACGTATGTGATCGCGGTTTCGAACTCA